TGAATGCCTTTGGGAACTGATTCATCTCACAATCCCAGCAAAAAAAGGTGGATAGTTTTTCTGTTGGATTACTGAATTGAATCAGCTCAGATTAGAGGCAGCAGCAAGTTACTAGATCTGTGTAGCAGTTTCTGGAAAGGCTGTCTTAAATTTACTAGACAGGAATGGCCAATTTGACTTTTGAGTATTACATGATACTTCCATGACAGCATGGGACTAAGAATGGGGTAATCCTGCCAAATAGTTCCTCCCAATTCTTGCTGTTGGTAGGAGTGACCAGCTGGTGCTGAAAAGAAACAATGATTTGTAGGGAGTATATTTTTGAAAGACTCCTAGCAGCAGATAACTGGAAAATCTGTGAGATTTTGCTTCTTCCCTCCCTGCCCATGTTGGGAATGGCTGTGTGTGTTCCAGGCCCTGGAAATATATGAAAAAAATATATAGTAAACTTGCATAACCTGTGCAAACCTGGCTTCTTAGGAGGGACTAGCCAATTCCGATACATAATGTTTCCCACATCAAGAGCATAAAATAACAATTGGTCTGTATCTTGGTTTACCTTTTTTTTTTTTTTTTTTAATATTCTTGTTTGGTTATAAGGGCTTGCTTTTGTAGTTGCTGCTAGAAAAAAAATTAAGTTAAAAATAAAGATGATCTTTATTTGGCTTAAGTGTAAGGATGGATACATGCATATATGATTATATATATTTAACCACTATGGTTCATTTATACTGTTATCACATTGCCTTGATTTATCTGTAAACTGCATCATTGGTATCTCTTAGAGGTACTGTCCTTCCCTGATAAAGGAAGGAACAGTGTGCTTGAGAACTGCAGGAAACTGATTTTTTTTTGCCTTTTCTGTTCAATTTGTGTGGGAGGATAATTAAGAGGATTTGTGAAGGTGCATAGACTGCAATGCCTGGAGTACTGATATAGCCAGTGGTTTTGTGTCCCCTGCTAAGGGAAACTGGACAGTGGATGAAAGCTGATTTGAGCTTAATATCTAGGTAAGGTCTAAGTAGTGCTGTTAGGCTGAGGAAAGTAAGTAATACAACAATGTGGATACCTTTCACTAACTGTTTCTGTTGTTACTTGATTCCAACACCTATGGATTGTATTGGATTTGTGCTTACTCTTAGATTGCATAACAACTGCATTCAGAACTGTTTTCTGCTATCACAGTCTGACAGGGAAAAAAATTGTATTTAATCTATCTACCTATTTTATGTTTTTTATGTTTATGCTAAACTAAAATTGAATTTTGGGGAATTGTTTAGGGAGACAAGATCAGAGGAAATAGCCAGACAACAAGGATATTTTGTCTAGGAGGTATTTCCTGCTTCACAGTTTCCTGCAGTTATTCTTAAATAGATGAGAAATTATCACAGTTTTTTAAATTTATTTTTTAAATGTGAAGTAAAATGTAAGGAGTTGGTGAAGCCAATTTTGATGGAATTAAGGTGGTCTATACCCTGAGATATTGCAGAGAACTCTCCAGGGGAGGCCTGTGCTTTTTGGGCCTCCTAAAGAGCAAAGAATTTTGAGCTGAACGTGGAAGATGTTTTCCCAAATTAGACCTTGGCGGCATGATGTAAATGTAGATAGAAGCAGCTCTTGTTGCAACAAACCTCAATGACTGATTAGCTTTTTTTTCATCCGTATTCTGAATTCCTACTGTAGTTTTAAGTTACTTTACAGTGATAGCACTTTGCAACAGCAAAGGTTAACAATGCCTTTCGTGCAAAAACAAGCCATGCCAACAAGCAGGAATATCAGTGAAGATACTGGAGCAGCCTCTTCCAAGTTTCATACCAACTTAAAGTACTCTGATTCTCCTCTGTAAAAGAACTGTCGGGCTTGTGTCTGTGGTGGTTACTCATATCTTTTCCTGAGGCATAGGGTTTGTTATCAGCATCCATGACATTTGCTTTGAAGGTGGAACTGAGACTTTATTTTGTTTCTCAGGGAGCAGGCGTGTTACAGATTATTGCAGAGCAATCCCAATTCATTTCTCTGTACTGCACTCCCCTCTGCCAACAGTTATCAACACAGCCTTACTCTTACAAATTTGGCATATTACTGGTAATATTTTAACCCTTTGTCTCAAACATTGTGTAAAATACAATGCATAGCAGTAGCAGGAATAATTAACTCTGTGAGGTCCAGCCCAGTCTCAAGGCATTGCCAGTTACTTTTCAGTCAATAAAATGTGTATTCAAGAGCTGTGGTGCACCTTATGCAGTAGTAATCACTCCTTTCTCATCTCTTAACACTGTGTAGAATTCATATGGCAGCCTAAAGATACTTCAGCATGAACGTTGGCATTACAGTTCTGCCTTTCCAAGCAAAATGCCACTTGGTTTTCAGAAAGTCCTATTTTTAAAAGACTCTTCTTTTTGGACTTTCCTGCCCAACCATGTTAATATTGATGACATTCATTTTTAATCATGGAAAGAGTGCTTCTTTTTCTTTCATGCTTAAGATTGACTTGGGAAGGCAAAACTGGCACGTCTCTTTCCTCTTGATCTAACATATTTTAGAAATTTCATTGTCTTAAAATGTTCTTTTCCTCGCATGCTATAGTTGCGGTGCTGGGCAGGAGGTCATGCTTTTACTGACATTTTATATGTGATGATAGCTATTTACTTTAGGTTTCCACTCTCCGACTGTTTGTCTGGTGACTGATTGCAGTCTGGAACTGGAAGCTTCCAGAGGGTATTAGTTCCCTTTTGCCCCATTGACAAAGGATGTCGGTTTTGTCGTCAATAGTATTATGTGGCAGTCGTATTTGGCATGAAACTCCATGTATGTAATCTCCTCTGTCTGAAGGATGTGAGGAGGTTGCTGATTGTCCTATAACTGTGACAGTGAATGATATTATAACGTGGTGCTTTTTTTCACAGGTCCAAAAGCACCACTCAGCACCGTGCAGCTGGTCAATGAATGCTTGCAGCAGTTGGTGATTTTAATGCACCAACTGTATCATGCATCCTTTCTCCTTGATTATCTCATGTTCGTTTCAGCATGGTTTGCTAGTTGTAGAAGTCAAGCAAATCTGGAAAAATTGTGTGTGCTATTGTTATATGTACATAACACTCAACTGATCTGAGAAGAATTCATATTTCTTCTGGAGAGTGGCAGAATGATTGAAAACTGGTGTGAGCCATAGGTTCTTAAGTCATTTTGGTTAAAATATTCTTTTTTTCAAATTTTTTTTGTTACTAGAACATTTCTGTTCTACATTCAGATTGAAGGTGCTTATGCTAATTTTATTCCACTGGTTTCATTCAAACAATTTTTCTACTTATGTTCATGTTCCATGTTTTCCGTGTTTTACCACTTTAGAGTAATGTTTCCTGTTTTTCTTGGGATGTTCTAGAAAGCTAAGTCAAGCATACCTGGAATCTCTCAGTTTTTCAGTTAATTATTGTGGCTATTAACTACCAGATAATTCTTAAATAAACTATTTTATTATATGAAATGATTTGTATGACCAACCTGTATTACTAAGCCCTGTTGCAGGGGAAAAGTTAATGCTGATGCATCTGAAGTTATTTTGTGCAAACAGAAAATTGAACACGCTACCTCAGTGCTTCACAGTAAGTTTGGAGCAATACATTTCTGAAAACTGCTTCTGTTCTGGAACGTACACCTTGAGTCAAAAGTACTCAGTAATGGCATGAGAATGTAATTTGAGCATTCCACAAAATCACTACATTAGGAGTATTCAACCTATCTCTAGCTCTTTCAACTAGTAACTTATATTCTTTAGGCTTTCCTACTCAGTGCATTAAAAGCATTCCAGGGAACGTCTCTGGGATGCGACCAGTGTAAACTAATCTCTGAGTTTGGGAACATTTTACAGCAACATGTTTAATATTAGAGTGAATTATCGTTTTGATGTCTCATTAGAACAGGGACTATAACATGAAAAAAGGCTAAGGAAAAGGGAAACTCTGGGGCTCTGTTCATAAAACTACTAGAATGCAATTCATTCGTTCTAATGGCTTTCGGGAGTATCTTAATAACATAAGCTCTCTCACCCCCTCAGTCTACTTGTCTTTCTTCCGCATGCCTTTTGGAACAATGGTCTTTCAGGTTTGAGCTCTGTAAATTCCTCAGATTTGTCTGCACTTGTGGCTTTTTCCCATTTATTTTCTAATTACCTTATATCAAAGGATTACTCATTGTCTGCATTTCATTTATTCCTCTGCATTTACTCTTGGATGGTTTAGTAAGTGGTTGTAAACAAACCATCTGGAGATGGAGCTGATAGCAGAGAGGATGAGATTTTCCCATTGCATACCAAATATAGTCATTTTGTTCTGTATGATTTCCTGAAATGTGTGGATCTTCTCCAGCTCTGTATGTAGTGAGGCTCAAAACAGGCTCTAAAGAAGCACCAGAAGAAATATTTGGCCGATAACTTGATAGAAAAAAATGAGTAGAACTTTTTTGCAAATTAGTACTTCTGTACATGTATGCACCCTCCAAATCTCCTTTCCCTTTAGACGCTCACCAAGTCATTGGCAACTACTTCTGTTAGGGTCTTGTATTTCAAAACGATCTTAATCTCTACTGTTTCTTTAGTCACCTTCTCCTAAAGCATGTATATGTGTGTACATGCAAAACTACTAATCTTTCCTTCTCTTTTTTTGAATTTTGAGTCTGAGTTATTTTTTTAGCAGGCAGAGTATTAACATGCTTTATCTTATTTTCTTTTTTTGCATACACCTACAGAATATTTTCTGAATGCAATTTATTCTGTTATGATGAGTAATCAAGTGTCTCATTCATATGGAATGATTGTTATTTTCAGTGCCAACTTCTTATGGGCTTGTCTAACACAGAGTAGGAGTGAAGAAAGTTAGAAATGAGTACATAGTGTGAGTTCGGAGGAGGCCTTCCTGCGCTTAGGTAATGAATAAAAAAAAAAATTTGAATGGTGCTAAATGAATCTATGCATGTAGAAGTTCATGAGAAAATGGCTGTATGTGATATTCACAACAGTATGTGAAAACCTTTCTGAATACTACATGAAAAGACTAAAAAAAATATATTTTACGCTCCATAAACATAAAGCTGAAGTTGGTAGCAAAGCAGTTTTTAGTTGTCTCCCCCTTTGCAATTGTTCTGTACTTGACTAATACAGTTTTATGTGCACTTACATAGCAACCAGCAAATTTTTCAGTTTAGTTTAATTTGTTCTGGTTCAGGTTTAGCAAATGTCAAAATACTGCTTCAGGTTAATTTCTGGTACAAGGAAAAGTAAGAGTTTAAGTGAGTTTTTAGATGGAGTTAAATTCAACCCACTGCATTAAACGTATAATTTAAAAACAGTGGCCTTGAATGTTCCCATTTTTTTGGTTATGATCCTTAATATGTATTCTTTAAGAAAAAGAACTGTGGCATATTATTTTATCTAGCAGTTGTTGCTGTTTATTGTACATATTTTTATGTGTATTGTAATGCAAATTTTCTCTTTTAAAAGCCTATTCCAAGTTTTGACAACAAATACCTGTTTTTATATTTGTGCATAACTGAGTTTTGTTTTTTTAACTCATTCTTATTTAATAATCTAAAACAAATGAAAACATTCTTCATTTGTTTGTAGATCTCTTTGGCAGTATGCTTTTTTTTTTTTTTTTCTTTTTTGCTAGCATGAGGATCTCCTAAAGTTTTGAGAATTTTTACAATTGTATTAAAGGAAATCAACATAGTGGCTTTTTAAAAATACTAGAGTTGAATTTTCAATCACTCGTTGCTAGTTTAGACTCTCTTCTACCATCATTACTACAAAAAGTATGGTATGCTAATTGTTTAAACTGTGTTACACATTTGTATGTTAAAGTTTAAGCACTTGTGTATGATGGAAATAAACGAATAAATAAATATTGCCAAACTCAAGTTTTTTTTGTTTTATTTTTTTTTAGTTAATGAGAACTGGATCTGAAATATGTTGTTTATCTCCAGAGCTACCTATGCAAATCAAAGTGAGATAACCTCAGATATTCAGTCTACATAAATTGCCTTCCATTTTTACATAGTGAGTTGTCCTCACAGAAATGTTAAGTCTATTCATAACTATTAAGACCTTTTATAAATGAGGGTGTATAAACTTACAAAGTACTATTTTTTTTAAAATGAAACCATTAAACAGGAAAAAAAAATTGTATGGTATGATATATATTTCTTTGAAATAACCATTAACAGTTTACAATAGTAAATTACATGCTTACCAGTCTCTTTTTTTTTTTTTTCCAAAGGAAAACAAAAATATCCTGCCAAACATTTAGTTTTTGAGAATAAGTTTCTAAAAATCATTCACTAATAAAAATAGCCTGGTCAATTATGGCAATAGATGGTCATAATGCTGCATGAATTTTCTCATACATGCATGGTTACATTTCTCTTCACTCTTTTTCCCTGCTATGTTGCTATCTTTGATATTGATTTGAAGTGTATTGAGTAAATAAAGAATGAAGAAATTGATCTGGCTATCATATTCAGGTAGCTTCTTTCCATTGTTGTTTATTTAAGAAAACTTAAATCAGTTTTGATCTCCTGGTATATGGATGCTGATATCCATCAACACTTAAGCTATGATCATCAATCTTCAGAACTGTAAATTAGTTACAGGACTGGGAGACAAAATTACACTATTGAAGCATTACTGCGACCATAGTAAAAAAGTTAATGCTTATGTGTGTTGAGGTGTAAAAGTAGGCACTGTGGCAGTAGCAGGTAAGATACCAATGACAGAAGTAGTTAGCAGTGCCGCTCTAGAGAGACATAAACAAGCACAGCATTCTTATTTAACCTAGGTGCTATAGTTTAATGGAGGAATTTAGCGCTCTTGATTTTGTTCCAAATTTAAATTTAAAGAGAAGAAATGTTAACATAGAGTTGTGATACATTTTCTGAAGGTAACTCAAGTTGTGAGTGTTCCCCTTTCTCTGGAAGAAGTTGAACTACATAAAGGGAAAGGCTAAGATTCTGCTTCAAGTAAATGAGGTGGCACCTACTAACAGTGTGTCACGTATGTGGTATTAATCAATAACTGAAAAGGTGTTATTTCTTCTGGCTTAAGGAATTGTAGAACTTTTTTTTTAGAGAAATTGAGCATCATAGCACTTTTTAACATCAGCTGAAATTGTTATTGCTCAGCATCTCAAAAACTGGATCTAATTCACAAATGCTTTTGTGTTCTATGTTCAAATTGTTATTATTTTTAATTTCAGGTTGCTGCCCTTATGAAAAATATGAAAATAGCAGATGTATCTGGTCCAGGCTTTGAGTAATCTGAAGTTCTTCTTGCTTTCCATAGAAGAACAAAAAGAGAGAGAATTAGAATTGCATCTGAGGTACTGTAATGATACACTTACATACTTTGATTCTGATGTTTTTACATGTAACCTTCTTATCCTCCACTTGTGTAAAACACAATTAATTCAAAATATTTGTGGCTGTTTTATTCTGTCTTTACAAAAGCATACACAATTGTGGAAGGCAAAAGCCATTGGAGAATTGTTTTGTCTGAAAAATTCAATCCAACATAAATGTTTCCTTTTAAAGAAAAATTTCCAATGCCTCTGATGCTGACAGTATTGTGTTAAAACTGTGGTGAGGGACGGGGAGCTGCGAGAAATTCACAGTTACCTCTTCATCACTAATGGTATTTGACTAGTTTTCAGTTTTTGGTTCTCCATTTACTAAACTTCTGGGATATATGAATAGCAAACATCAAGAATTGTTTAGAATCTAAATTACATAGTGTTCCCTGAAATTCTAAAACAAGTTTCAGTGTCTCTCTCCTTTTTCCCCTCTCCCCCCCGCCCCCCAATAGACATGAGATATAATACTTTATGATTACTTGGATTTCAGATGAAGCCTGTGGGTTTCGGTGGTCTCAATCTTCCACTCTGATTAACATGATTGGTAAACAGACTAGGCACTAACGCATTGAAAACGTTGTTCTGTTTCCCCCCTTCCCTCCCAGTATATTTAATTTACTAAATTGCTTATTTGATGTCACTTGCATAAATATATATAAATATAAAAGGGAAAATGAATTCTTCTCCTCCAAACTGATGACTGAACATTGTTCTGAGCAAATTAAAAATAACTTGATTGCAAAATGAAAATGTATGAAATCACATAGGTAGTCAGGGGTTCTGTTCATTTCTGAGAATGCTTGCGTATTCATTGCAGTTGACGTTTTGGGTATTTATGGATGATTCTGTGGATGCCAATTACAGGGTCAGGATCTAAGTCAGGGGTGTGAGGCAGGAACAATAAGTCCTTTAAATATAGAAGGGCTGAATTGTACCAGCAGCAGTAAGTGATACAGATGTTTCACTGTTTTGCCCCGTGAGCACAGCTTTATTTATTACACTGAATAAGCCTGTTCTGAAAAGTGCTATCTGCCTTTGTTTTAAATAGCAAGTGGGCACGTGAAGATGTTGTAAATGGTTTTGTAAATGGAACGTCGACAGAAAGCGTTAACGTACACAGATCTCATTAGGATGTAAAAATCACAGAAAAATAAGTTTACCTCTTCTGAGTCAGGAGATCAACTTACCTACCCTTCCTGCTCCAACATGGGATGTTTACATTTATGCTTATTTTGTTATGATGAAAGAAGTGTTTGATTCATCTACAAGGGTCTGCATGCCTAAGATAGGCCATTTTTAAGCTGACCATAGGAACTTCTTGGGAAGAAATAGTTACTATCTTAATGACTATTTGAAGCATCACCTAATATATTATAATTTTAACATTGTTTCTGTAGCGCTTACTGTTCTCCATTTGCTTGTGTGTTTCAGTGTGTTCTTATTTAGAATCAAAGAGCATAATATACTGGATGGAAACAATTACAAATTTTGTTTGATTTTGTCTTCTGAATACACTGCTTTTCAGGGTCATTAACTGAGATTGTCCTATTGATGCACTATTTCCAGATAAGAGCATAGTAATTACTGCATATATAAAAATAATTATTGGAATTTTTCAATCAATTTGCTGTGAAGAATGGCTAGCCTGTCAAATTAGAACAAAGTTATCAGACCAAATATGTCTTGTTATTTGTTTTTTCCTATAAGCAATAAAACTTACTACTTGCTATGGGTAAGAGGGCTTTTTTTTCGGTAGAAACGTGTATTTCATGTTTTATTTTACTATCCAAACAACTTCCATAACATTTCTGTTGTAGAAATGCTTAGGCTGTGGGATATCCCCTCATTATTCTCTGTTTTTACATCACTGCAGTCACACATTGTGGCTTCTTTCTTTCTAAGGTGTGCTGATTCTTTTCACAGAAATTAAGAGTGAAAGAACATATTAAAAGTAAAATTTATCTTCTCTACTAGCTTCTAATCTCTGTAGGCAGTAGCACAATAAGACTTAGTTTTGCAAAAAAGGCCCTAACTTATCTGGCAGGTCTGTGGTATATGTGCAGAATTCTAATCTTTCTTCCCATATCCAAATGCATATGCAGGCACTATATATCCTTCCAACCATGAATCATAGCATCCTTCTGATGAGCTTTGCAATCATTCTAATAAAAATAGTTTCCCTACCTATGTTTGGTGTCTCGAAGACTGTAAGAACAGCTTTACCAAAACCCTACCAGAAAGCTCTGAATTCTGTGGCAGTGTTGATTTATTGTATATTGGTGCAACTTCCTTCACTTCTCTTCTTCCCATATCCAAATATATCTTCAGCAACAACCATGACTACATGATCCAAACAGAACTAGTCAATGGTAAAGTTTGTTTAATGTGAGCTTTTGTCTGAAAAATTCATTTCAAAACTCTATTTAGTTCACTTTCCTATCTTCAGATGTCAGTACTGGTTATCTGTGAAAGAAGTGTAAGAAAGTAACCAGGCCTGCAGTGGTACTTCTGGCTGATATTTCTGGCTTACTTTCTCAGCTTCTAGTGGCTGGGTCTTTCTGAGACAAATGCAGCATAATATCGCTGGATGGATTTTTCTTGCAGGAATTGTTTTAATCAATTTTTGAACATATCCAAACTTTTGTCCTCAAATACATCCAAATTACAATGAATTTCATAATTTAATAGTGCTTTCTGAAAATCCAAATACATGATATCAACCAGGTCTCCCTTAATTTCATGCTAATTTAATTGTTCACAAAACCTTGTCCATATGTGAGGCATGACTTCTCTTAAAAAATATTGCAGTCTTTTCTAGCATATTGTATTTATCTGCGTGCCTACTATTTCTAATGTCTATTGCAGTTTCCTCTAATTTACCTGCTGAAGAAGTCATACCTATTGATCTCTTATTTCTTAGGTCCCTCCCTAGAGCCTTTTTGAAAAATGGATGGTCATATTCTTTTCCTTTGTTCTGGAATCTGTTTTAAGTGATAAGATACTGTGAAACTCTTAAGTGTAGCTTTTTTGAGTTCCATTACATTAGTTGTATGGGCACATTTTTCACAGTCTGGTTCCAATGATCCGTTATTGGTCATTTTACTGACATTTCAGATTGAGAGGATTCATCTGTCTTGTCCTTTCTTTAAAAAAAAAAAAAAAAAAAAAAAGATTTCAGTGTAGGTGTAGGGATCAATTTAAGTTCCTTCACAGAGAATGCTCATGCATGTACTTCATTTTGCTTTTCTGCTGTGGCCCTGTCTTCTTTAAATTGTTGTATTACCATCCAAATATAATTTACCCCCTCAGAATCTCTGTTAAGGCTCTTCTAATATATTTTTTTAAAAGTGTTGTTACAACTCTTATGCATGTGAGAACTTGCTTCTCAAAAATTCTGTGGCCTACCTATTTTTTAGCTTCCAGTTAAGCTTCATCATCGCCCCTCTGTTTGGCTTCTGTGTGACATAAGGCGCAAACCCGTGGTCATTCTAATCTTTTATAAAGCAACTTAAATTGTTGTCCAGGAATGACTTTTCTGCTACTTCCTGTCTTGTTTCTGGGAGTGGATTTGGACTGCAATCACAAGCTCCTTCCCAGCGTTTTCTAAGAGACTCTTTGCTCAAGCAAGAATCTGTCAGACTTTTTCTAGATTTATTAACTGCGACCTGGCCTTAGCCAGGCTCTTCAGCGAAGTTGCTGCTAGTGTAGAGGGGAGTGACCCCTGCAGGAGGCTTCTCAGAACCATGGAGAGCTCTTCAAAGACCAGCACACGGGATTTTTCTTCATATAACTGTTAAAGTTAGGCTGAACAATTCAGAAATGAAGGAAGCTGAATGCAAGGACTAAAAAATTACACTGCAAGTATGAACAAGCAGGTAGTATCTAGTGTAAAAGAAGGGTAGTGAAAGTAGTGTAATTTGCAAGTTCTAGGAATTGTGCGATGGCACTGGAGGACTACTAAGCATAAGTATAGCTGATCATGATATAGTTACATCCTCACTGCAGAAGTAAGGCATTCACCACCAAGTAAAATACTCCTTTTCTCCCAAATAATGGGTCCACACGCAATGATTCTGTAAGTTTAATGGCTTTATTTGTGGATAGTATTGTAAACTTGCCTAGGAAGAAGTAAGACAAACGCATGATGGTAGGTTTTGCCTCATGTTTGACCTTTTTGAAAAAGCATATTTTAAACCACACCACCTCTTATGTGGGATTTCACTAGAATAGCTATGAGAAAATATACAGATTTAATTTTTGTACAATACAGTGTTCATATTTAATAACTACAGATTTTATATAACAAATGAGGTGGTCTTACTTTTAGAATATTTAGTTTATAAAATATTCTTTTTTAAAAAAACTACAAACAACTGCTTGGTTTGTTTCTTTTGATAAAGTCATATATAAAAAATGTTCTTGCATGTTAAAGAAAATAGCTCACTAGGACAAAAACATGATTGCTTCTAGCACTATGAATTGGTGATATTACAAACATAGGTGGAAAGTTTTATTAACAGTGTGATCTTAATACCTGACATAAGTAGAATTAAACAAAAAGCTAAATACCTTCAGAAGTATTTAAAACTCATAAGTTTAAAGCTAATCTGTTGTTTTCCCTTAATGATATGTCATGTTAATTTTGAGAGGAAAAGCTCTTGGCAACTTTATCTGAAATTTTGGACGGACAACTTCTACCATTCTGGTTTATTCCTAGCCTTACTATTGTAAAAATACTTTGAGTGTTTCAGTTCTTTGATTTTTTTGTATTAAAATGTGTAGGCACATACATATGTATAAAATGTGTATACATATACATACGTTTTGTAAAAATGTGTATAGAGCCACAGTGCATTTGTGTATGGTGATAGCCAGGATCAGATGCAGGAAGCAGCCTAGTTTTGTGGCATGAAGCTCTATGAAAGCTGTATAAGCAGTGTAAATTTGATAATATGAAACTGTATGCTGGC